TTGATTGCGATTTTTACGGGTTAGGTGTATGGTTTGCAATAATACTGTGATTAGGCCCAATATGTTAGTGATCACTTGGGTCGTGTACACCTTACGGGCTATATTATTATAATGTAGTAATTTTAAGTATGTGAGCCGGAATTAAGTAAACCCTAATTAGGGTTAGAGTAAAAAATGGGCCGACTTTATGATTTCCTATATAATTGCTAGGTCTCATCTCCTCTCCATATCGTTTTAGCTGGCCTCATTGACGGACGATTATTTTGTGAGAAACAAGGAGATGAAGATCTTGCTGATAATATTCATACATAACCATGTTTTCCGCATGTATGAATTTCGAACGGTTAATTAATATATGTTATTCTTGTTTTTAGCATGATAATTAAATAATTACAACAATTGGTATTAGAGCTGCATGCTAAGATTAGAATCCTTTAAACAAAATATTAATCTAACACGTCTATCTGCTGTCTGTATAGTTTTATTACTGTGCATGTAATCTCTTCTATCTTGCAATTTGATCCTCCCACAATCAAAATCCGTCAACTACAATCAACATTTAGCTCAACTGTGGGCTATGTCTTCATTTAATTGAATTTTCTGTCTTCCTGATTTGAGATTTCTCAAAAGTTTATGCTTGTGAACTGAAATTACATAGTTTCTCGTACTTCGAAATTCATGTTTTCGAATCGATTATGTTTTTTTCTGTATAAGGGCGGCGACAGTCAACTCGATTCTTCATCCCATTGGTGTTTTGCTTATTGGGTTCTTGTAATTTAATGATTTTGCAATTGGATTCAAACACTACACCCCTTTGTTGTGATTTTTCACAGAAAAAGCTTTTGTCTTTTTCTTCCACATCTCTCCATCTTCGAAGGAGGGATTATTTTATCCCACAACATCCATACTCACATGTATCCCACGAATACCAACTATTGCATTAGATAGTAAAGAGGGTGAGTTAATTAGGCACAAGCTTAAAATGTTAAATTTAATGGAATAAAGCAAGTGCCGGAAAAAAAAAAAAGGCAACATTGGAGGTAATTTTTAAGGATCACGAACCTAATTGTCATGAGATTGGCAGCCAGCTG